CTATTGATGGATATTTAGGAAATGGTTTACTTTTATAGTCAAGGCTTTTCTGTTGGTTCTTTTTTTTTTTTTAATAAAGTAAGTGAATTTTCCATTTAACAGAAATGAATTGAGTTTCCTCTTACATCCTGTTAGCAGCTGTGAACTGTGCAACTAGTACTGAGGGGTGGAGAAGGTTACAAAGATGAATTGAGATATCTTGTTTTCAAGGGACAAGAAAATAAGACAGATATGCTAGGTCCTTAAGAGTGATTCATTTCATGTGCTAAGTATAGAGGGACTTTGTTGCCAACAAAGGTCCATCTAGTCAAAGCTATCGTTTTTCCAGCAGTCACGTATGGATGTGAGAGTTGGACTGTAAAAAAAGCTGAGTGATGAAGAATTGATGCTTTTGAACTGTGGTGTTGGAGAAGACTTTTGAGAGTCCCCTGGACTGCAAGGAGATGTAACCAGTCAATCCCAGAGGAAATCAACACTAAATATTCATTGGAAAGACTGATGGTAAAGCTGAAGCTCCAGTACTTTGGCCGCCTGATGCAAAGAGCCAACTTACTGGAAAAGACCCTGATGCTGGGAAAGACTGAAGGCAGGAGGAGAAGGAGCTAATAGACATTGAGATCACTGACTCAATGGACATAAATCTGAGCAAACTCTGAGAGATGGTGGAAGTTCAGAGGAGCCTGGCGTGCCACAGTCCATGGGGTCACAAAGAGTCGGGCACAACTTTAGTGCCTGAATACTGGGGCTTCCCTGGTGGCTCAGTGGTAAAGAATTTACCTGCCAATTCAGGAGACATGAGTTTGATCCCTGATCCAGGAAGATCCCACCATGCGGTGGAGCAACTAAACCTATGTGCCACAACTATGGAGCTCATATTCTGGAGCCCGGGAATGGCAACTATTAAACCCATGAGCCCTAGAGCTCTTTTCTGCAACAAGAGAAGCCACCACAGAGAGAAACTTGCACATCACAACTAGAGAGTAGCCCCCACTTGTTGTAACTAGGGAAAAGCCTTCACAGCAATGGAAACCTAGCACAGCCAAAAATGATATTCAAAAAATGGCATAAAGTAAAATTATAGGGGTGGGATTTTTTGGATGAATCGTTAGCTAATCCAAAAGCATGGGGAACATGTACAACATTAGTAGGCAGTTTGATTGCTTGAGACCAGATTGTGGAAGGCTGTGGATGACAAGCTAAGAGATTTCTACAATACAGGTGATGGTCATTGAAGATCTATGGTGGATATTGTAGCAAAAGAACAACATGAGCAAAGTTTATGGGGAAAGTCTAATTTTACCTAATTATAATTAATGCAGGGATTAGAAAGAAGGAAACTGGTGATGTAAAGACTTATTTTCAAAGATCTGATGCCAGGATCCTGAGAATTCTTAGCCAAAGGTGGTAGTTAGGTCTGCAAGGGATAAAGCAGAGAGAGGTTTTGGCGAAGTAATGATGAGACCCAGTGTCTTGTGAAAATCTGTATATCACAGAATAGAGAAGGCAAAGATAAGTTCTCTAGAAATCTACATGAAAGAACTACTAGAAGTAGGTGATTCAAATATAGGAACTAATGCAAGATAGGAATCTGTGTTTGATAGGCCAGTGGAGTGTTTGGTTGGAAATTTATGGCAAGTAGTTAATGCTTTTAATGATGGGCTGTTCCTCAGGAAAGGCACTGGAGCTGAGGAAGCAGAATTAAGAATGATAGAACTGGGGTATGATTTATCTGGTAGGAGTTGGAATGAGGAATGCCAAAATTTTAGAAGAGCGATTTGGAGGAGGTGAGAAGTAATGGTATGAATGTCACAGAGGAAGATGTAATACCACCTGTAACAAATCAGACCTGGAGGGTGAAGAAATAAAGGTTAATGATTCTCTGGGCTGTAGTGGTGTCATAGTGAGACAGAAAAAATCATGACTGAGATGGCGAGAATTTGGGGGTGGGGACATGCTATTATTGGTTTAGGGAATGGTGAGAGTAATGATTTTTGTTTGTACGTTTAATAAGATGCTTGAAGGAGAGTTAACATGCTGGTTCTAGCAAACTGCCAGAGATTTCTAAGAGTGGGATCAGATTACAGACCTGAGACAGTTTAAATGAATGAGGAACTGACCAGTTGAATGAAGACAGAAGAGATAGGAACATAAATCTGAAGTTAGAAGTAAAACAAATAATGAAGGATCTCTTGGATTTTATCGAAGGATTGTTGCTTATAATGGTAGGAGCTGGAAGGGAATACAGCAACTCTGGAAAGATGGTTTCAAAAAGAAGGTAGTAATGACATTAAAAAAGTGGATGAATTAAGGGAGATGAAAATTGTGAAGTCATTGGAATTAGGTGTGGGTGGTGGAGTTCAGTGTTTCATTGGAACATGTAAAGAAGGGAGGGGACAGGTGTAGGATGCAGGACCAGCCCTTTGCTTACACAGCATTCATTTTAACTGGTGAGGCTGCAGTTATGTTAACTGTGAGTCCTTTTCCTTTGGGGTTTAAAGTTTTTCTCTCATCTTTCTCTATTAAATCTCTAAACTTTGTTCTTCCAGAGTCTTTACTCCTTTCATATAGCCAACTTCAGAATGTTCTAGATATAATAGTTCTAGAAGCCCATTTCTATCTTTTCAAATTTGACTCTGAAACTATGAATCAGACCTGGATTAAAATCTGAAGAATTCCTCCAAGTTACCTAGACTTTAAGAATTCCCATTCTGCAAGCAGTAATTTAAATGGCTTCTCCTACATCATTAGCAATACTTTCTTGGCTCGATCTGTCCTTTCAATATAATTTAAGTCTGAAATCTGACCCTGTTATTATATTTTAGTTTTGAGGATGCAAGAAGATTGGGGGAGTTAGGAGACTGATAGGTAAATAAGTGTTAGTCACTCAGTTGTGTCCAACTCTTGGCGACTTCATGGACTGTAGCCTGCCAGGCTCCTCCTCTGTCCATGGGATTTCCCAGGCAAGAATACTGGAGTGGGTTGCCATTCCCTTCTCCAGGGGATCTTCCCAACCCAGGGATTGAACCCAGGTCTCCTGCATTGCAGGCAGATTCTTTACCATCTGAGCCACTGCAGTTAATCTAGGAGACTGGTAGGTCCTCATGAAATACTAATACCCTGGAGAGGTCTCTGACAGCTGGAAGTGCAAAATCCTCAACTTATGGAAAGAGTTTTGTTCCTAAAGCTCCTTTCTCCTTTGGTTGGGAGTGCACATTTGCTTTTCGATTCACAGCCAGAGCCATAGACAATGGACAAGTTCTTGCAAAGGCCTCAAGTTGTGTAACATGTAACTTCATTGTCGAATCCAATCTCCATTTCTAATCTTAGTCTAAAAGAGATTAACTCAAGATGCTAATATGCACTATCTTTCCACCCCTCCACAATTCTCCGTCCCTCTTCTGCCCACTGCATTTAGAGCTGTAGGCATACGTTCTTTTGAAAACATGGTGGTGGGCTTAGTCATAGACCCTAGTGCTCCAGAGTGCAGGAGAGCATTGGAAGAACACTGAGGGCAGCACTGGAGCTTTTATCAGAGCCTTGAAGCCCTTAGAAAGGACTATGAAGAACGGAGTGCTTGGAATTAACCAAGAGGGGGACCTAGCAACATTGGGTCCGAGGGCAAGGATGCAAAGAGGAAATCAAGCTCTTCTAGTGACACGAGAGAGTAAAGAAGTGGAGCCCTAACCCTTTTTTGAGTCTTTTGCCCTTTATTTTAATTTTCATTTAATTCTTATGACAACCCTGAGGAGTGGGTAGGTCTTCTTCCCATTTTACAGATAAGCTAGTTGTGGTTCAGCAAATTAGGAAGTTGTCAGTCTCACTGCAGGCAAGTTGACACAGCTAGGTTTTAAACTAATTCTGCTTGATTCAAATTCCTTCTGCCATACCACAGTGCCCAGAGGGACGGGAGGGGAAAGTGTTTTCGATGCTATTCTGTGGTTGTATTTGAAAATCCAGGACCATGTGTTGTATTTCTTTGATTTCTCTTCCCCATTTGTTTCTTGTCTGTGATGTGTTCCTTTGGTAGACACACTCCTGCCCATCCCAAAAGACAGCTGGGGTCTGTTTACATCCAAAGCAGAAAGAGTTTCGACATCTCTAGATGAGCTGTGTGTGTCTCTTCACTACATTCTTTCTATCTGGAGGCAGGCAGCACACAGCTGCGGCTGTTAGGCCAAGAGTACAGCTATAGTCAGCCGCCAGTTGACACCACAGCACATGGTGTCATGGTCCCGTTACTCGAGTGTGTCCTACTCAAGCTGCTGCATGATTGACATTTGCCAGGACCACAGTTGTGGGAAGAATTCTGTGTACTTTGTAGGAGCAATGTCACTATGCTTCATACTCCATTTGCCTCATGTTCTCATAAAATTACTCTACATCCAAGCTTGTTTGCATAAAGCCACACTACTGGTTGTCCTACCCATGTACTACTCTTGAGGAACTCTGGTGATCAATTGACTTTGTAGGTTGTTATTGCCTATGACATCTTTGACCAAAACTATGTTTCATCCTGATTTTAATGTGGCTAAGTTAAATACTGGGGCTTCCCTGGTGGCTCAGATGGTAAAGAATCTGCCTGCAATGCAGGAGACCCGGTTTCAATCCCTGGGTCAGGAAGATCCTCTGGAGAAGGGAATGGCAACCTACTCCAGTATTCTTGCCTGGACAATTCCATGGACAGAGGAGCCTGGAGGGCTACAGTCTATGAGATCGAAAAGAGTTGGACATGACTGAGCGGCTAACACTTTCCCTTTCAAGTGAAATATGGTGTATATTTTGTTCAACTTGCATCATTAATGCAGTTGGTGGTGATGGCTGGTCGATTATTACCTTGAGAAAAACAAACTCACTGACAACAACCAAGAATAGCAAATGTAAATTTTTCTTATTTAAGTGTCTTTATTAGGCCTCTTCTTCTTCTTCTTTTTTATTTTTTTAGAGCTTAAAATGATGAAATGAAACTAACAGAAAGTATTTCCTTTTTTTCTATTTTTCAGAAAAAACCACTGTCTGCAATAATAAAGGAAGTCTGTGATGGGTAAGTGTTACTCAGGATTTATCCAGGGAGCTCCAGTCAGCATATTGAAAGGCAAATAAAATATTCTTGTGCAATTATTAAATATTACTCATTAAGTCACTACTTGACCTGCCTAAAGACAGCAAGAATTACTGTGTAATATTTCCATGTCTTTTCTACCAAAACATTCTCTCTGTTTCTCAAAGAGTGGGAAGTGTAGAAGTCCTGATATGTGGACATTGGGATTGATCTTATTTACTTTGAAAAGATTTGGTTCATTCATCCTGTTCAGCAGGAAGCAGTCTAAGTTCCCGAAGTTAAGTGCACCCTTCTTCTGGTATAAAGTGAGAAGACCACTCAGGTCCCCACAGAAGATAAAATAATTTAAAAGACAGGTCAGTGGGTGGTTGTGCTGCCACATGGAACTTCACAAAGATAGCTTTCCTACTTCTCTTGGGGTGCTCTAACAATCCGTGCATATGGAAGTTGCCTGAGGTTTTTTTAATTTTTAAGGCAGAACTATGAATAGAATTTTACCTGGAATTTGTTAAAATCTGTGATCCTTAAATGGACAGAGGAGCCTGGCAAGTTAGTCTGTGGGATCACAGAAGAGTGGGACATGATTCAGTGACTAAACAACAACAATCCTTAACTGAAATGTTCCAGTCTACAGCAAGCATGCTGACTGGGGATGGCAGACTCCAGAGACACCTGAAATGTAACAGTTATCAAAAATTTACATTGCACTCGTTTCCTTTGTTTTCCTCCCTCTGCTCCACTCACTCCTTCTTCATAGGGAGGAATGGAACTTTATATTTAATGAGCCCTCCCTCAAAGCTGTGGAGATAAAACACTTTAAGGGTTAACAATAGGCTTGGGATAAGACCTTGGTCTCAGGGTCATGATAACGGGGCTGAAGTCATTTTGTTTTAGGAACTGCACTGTGTGTGTCTTGGGTACTGGCCCAGTTCCAGTCACAGGGTGCTAAGCTCACCTAGCTCTAGCGTATGAACTTGAAAATGATCCTTTTCGCTTTTGTCGTCAGCTTTTGCTTGCCTTTTTCAGGTGGTCCCTTGCAAACCATGAGTACTTTGCGCTGCAGCATGCTGATAGCTCCAACTTCTACATCACAGAGAAGGTAGGTCAACCACGTTAGTTAATCCGAACACCTATATTTAAAGGAAATTAAAACATAGCTGATGTTTCCTCTGCTCAAGACTAAACATGCTGGCCTAAATTTTACATCTCTACCATCCATGAAAACAGAGTCTGCAAAGCAACCAACCGCTACTTTAGTATTAACAAGGGGATATTTAGCCCATTCAAGAGTAAAGACCAAATATGCTTCTGTGTTCTGTTTTAGCAACAGCATTTGCCTTCTAACAGTGAATTTACTAATTATCTCTCTTCCTTATTGCTTGGTTTAAGCATTTATTTGATACTTAATGACTTAGTCAAGCTTCCCTTTCTCAGACTTTTTTTTTTCCATAATAATCTCTAAGCCCTGCTTTAAGTCATTGAAACAATGACAAAAACCATTTTGAAGGTGGCATTATGTAGGCATTTAGTGTTCTGTGGTTCTTGGGAACTCTGCTTTCTTCACGGGTGATTTTAACTAGGAAACTTGGAAGTGAGAGAAGGATTGTGAATACTACAGTGGCTCTAGCAGCAAGTACAATTAATATCCTAGAGATTTCTGTTAGGAGAAGGGAAAAGTAGCATTTATTGAGCACCTGCTGTGTGCCAGAAACTGGGCCGGCCTCCTTACATCTGTTTGTTAATTTCATCCTCACGACTAACCTGTGGTAGAAACCGCATTGGCTTTGGTTAACAGATAAGAAACTGAATCATAGCAGTCAGATGGCTTGGCTAATATCTCAGGAGCGATAAACCATAGAACCAAGAAACCAATTCAGATCTTTGTGCTTCTATCACTTTTCCTTTTGGGAATTTCTGGAGAAGTTTAGTATTCAGCTCAGTTTTATGGAGAGCTCACTGATATCCGTAGGAGCCATAATTGTCCTCATGGAACTGATAGCCTTCTGGGCTTGGTGAGGAGGAAGGGGATGGCTCTGTGAACAGTTTTCGTCACAGTAAGTTGGTCAGCTCTGGGACAGAAGTGAATATAGAATGCTCCAAGAAAAGGGAGAATCAGTGACCTATGGCTCCTGGCTTTGTTGGTCCCAAACCTTAGAGCGATCGTAAGTTTCCCTGTGAATCAAACGGTGGTGGAAGGTGGAGGCACTAATAGGGTCTGTCCCACTGTGTCTGCCCTCGCTACCCTGAGGAGGGAGGGAGGGAGGCGACAAGTGCTCAGTCCAGCCTGAGGGGAAGACAGCCAGAGGCCTGGAAATGCTTCTTAGAAATTGCTTATTCTTCCCAAATGGGTCCTGGAATTTTCATAACTGATCATGTTTTCCTCTGCACACTGATGGGGAAGCTGAGAGTTAACATGTAGACTAGATTTCCTGGCCTATGTTGTCTTTATTACTTGTACTTGTTCCTTTGGTTTATTCCATAAACACTCAATTTTGTGTCTTTCTTTTTTTCTTGCTTCACTTTCTTAAGATTTTTCATTTATTTTATACTTATATAATCTGCATGCTATTTTTGAGATAAAGAGGATGTAAATAAATAAAAGTTAAATGCTAGCAGTTGAATGCATTGTTGTTGATTCCCTTAAACAGAAGACTGTCTCACTTTACCTTGAGTCACCCTCTAAAGGTAACTAAAATATTGTGACTTTGGGGGTATATTGGAAAAGACTGAATGGCCTTCTACTATTTAGGATATTACATGAAAAAATTTAAAAATTATTAAGTGATAAAAATATAGGACAACAGATATTATAATAGAGTTTTTCAAACACCACCAATTAGTGGGAAGTGAAATCAATTTAGTTGGTTGCCATAACATTAAAAATTGGAATATAATAGAGTAGGCCAGACTACATCACCCATGTTGTTTCTGAAAAACTTGGGTCGTACACACACACACATATATAATACAAGTATTTTGTGCTGGTTTTATACCCTAGGCTGTGGCCCAAAAGCCACTGAGTCACAAACAGCTCTGCCTTTAATAAACCATGTTGATTTGTGTCCCCTGATGACTGTCCTATCTTCTGTCTTCATTGTCAGGAGACTTCAATGTATTGGTGATTACTAAGGATGGACTTCTCAGACCAGAGAACATAAACATCACAGGGAGCATCTTTTTAAAATGGAGATTTCTCAGATCCCAACCTCAGAGACTCAGAATGGGTGGGCCTTAGACATGCCCTAGGATTTTACACTGTAAGGACCTTCTGGAATTCTGATGCAGGTACTCAGGGACCATTAGGAAGAACACTGCTCCAGGACCACTTTTCTGAAGACTCGGGGCTCCAGTGTCCCAGGCACTGTGCACCATGAACAGAAGTCACATTCTAAGTTTCATTTAGGAGGGTGGTGTTGTACGGTCAGTTGATAGAATAATTTAAAAATTCATATATTGTTGATACTTTTATTCTAACTAACATTAATATCTACTTAGAAAATTCAAACTACTTAGATCAGTGGGAGAATTATTATTTTATTGGGCATGCTAGTTATTTTCTGAGAAATCTTGTTTGGCCTGAGGAAATTCTTAACATTGAATTTAAAGGGACTGCCACCTAAATCTGTTATCAGTCTTCACTGCCCAACAGCAGAGATTCTTCCTTTACTAAAAGTTTAAGGAATGAGAAAGCTCATTTTTTGTTTGTAAATAAAATGTCATCACTCTTCCTCCTGCAGCTGTCTCTGGGCATAACACATGCATGTGACCCAGAACTTGACCCACACAGGGCAGGAGATGGACCTTGAATCCTGGGTCCACAGGGGTAAATCTGAGCCACCTTCAGTTTGCGGTTAGGTCCATCTAGTTCTTTGCAAGTATTCCTAAAAATAGAGTACATTTCCCATTTTGAAGTAAAGTATTTAGCATCATCTTGGTTACTTATAGCCCAGTGAGTTGTTAGGCAATATTTGAGTTACTATGGTAACCAGTGACTAATTTTTGAAACTTGTGCATATTCTTAGTTACTGACTTTCCCTTGTATATGAGGTGGCTCCCCCTCCCACTGGCAGAGATAAAATATCACCTGTGATTTTAAAGAAGAAAAATTCTCCAGCTCTGGCAGGACAAGCTAACATACTCTGTAACTGACGGATGTTGACAGTCTTCTCAGATCCTCAGGAAGGCACCTCCCCTGTTTTTCTCATGTTATCCAAGCCCATTTTCTGAAATTGTCTTCATTTGCTTATTGGGCCATTAACTTTTGTTTTTCAGCACAAGGGGAAAAAAATGCCATGTTGTCGAGCAATGTTCAGCAGAAGCCTAGCATGCAAATGCTTAGAGAACATTAAGATTCAGCTATTTACAACTTCAGATTCTGCCCCAGAAACTTCCATATTTCAGAGTGATGGCTCAGAGACAGAGAGAGAGAATACAAAATAAAAAGTGAATTGTGTATTTTTCAGCTTTATTGAGATGTACTTGGACAAATAAAATTGTGAGATATTTAAGCATATGTCATGGTGGTTTGAGATACATATACATTATGAAATGATGCTTATCTAGTTCATAACACAGGCATCACCTCTAATTATTTATTTGGTGAGAACATTTAAGTTCTAGTCTCTTGCCCTGTGCTGTGCTTAATTGCTCAGTCACGTCCGACTCTTTGCTACCTCATGGACTGTAGCCTACCAGGTTCCTCTGTCCATGGGGATTTTCCAGGCAAGAATACTGGACTGGGTTGCCCTGCCCTCCTCCAGGGGATCTTCCTAACCCAGGGATTGAACCTGGGTCTCCCGCGCTAAAGGCAGGCTCTTTATTGTCTTGAGCCACCAGGAATACATCCAAGAATTCTGGAGTGGGTAACCTATCACTTCTTCAGGGGATCTTCCTGACCCAGGAATTGAATCGGGGTCTCTTGCATGGCTGGTGGATTCTTTACCAGCTGATCTGCTAGGAAAGTCCTCTAATCTCGTAGCACATTCCTATACAATACAGTGTTATCAGCTAAGTCATCACATTTTACATTATATCCTGAGACCTTAGTCATCTGTAATCTGAAGTTTTGTTCCGTTTTACCAGCCTCTTTCTATTTTTACCAACCCTTCAGCTCCTGGTGACCACTTTTTCTACTCTCTGTTTCTCTGCTTCAATGAATTTGACTTTTTCTTTTTTAAAAAATTTCCACCGATAAGGGATTCCATGCAGTATTTGTCTTTCTCTGTCCAACTTCTTTCCCTTAGCATGATGCCATGAAGGTACATCCATGTTGATACAAATGGCCAGATTGCCTTCTTTCTTATGGCTAAATAATATTCTGTTATGTATTTCTACCACATCTTTATTCATTCATCCATTGACATCTCGTAGGTTGTTTCCGTATCCTGACTATTGTGAATAATGTTTCGATGGATGTGGGAATGCAAGTATCTCTTCAATATCATGTTTTCATTTCCTTTGGATGTATACCCAGAAATTGGACTGTTGGATCCTATTTTAATTCTGTTTTTTTATTTTTTGAGGAACCTTCATGTTTTCCCTAGTACCTATACCAATTTACATTCCCACCAACAGTGTATGGGGGTTCCCTTTTTTTCAAATCCTCCCCAATACATATCTCTTTCTCTGTTTTGTTTTTGATAATAGCTATTCCAACAGGTGTGAGGTGATTTCTCATTGTGGTTTTAATTTGCATTTCCTTAATGATGAATGATACTAATTAGTCATATGCTTGTTGACTACTTGTCTTTTTTGGAAAAATGTCTATTCACTTTCTCTGCCCATTTTTTTAAATTGGAGTGTTTTTTGTTTTTGCTATGGAGTTGTGTTATTTAATTTGGATATTAGCTCCTTATCGAATATATGATTTGCAAATACTTTTCTCTGTTTCATAGGTTGCCTTTTCATTTTATCGATGATTTCCCTTGCTGTGAAGAAGCTTTTTAATTCAATGTAGGCCCATTTGTTTAAGTATCTAGTAGAATTTGTTTTCTGAAAAGATAATTTTATATAGAGAGAGGGCTAAAGTGGGTGGTCCATTATCTTCATTGCAGTCTGATGATGCCGTTATTATTATCTCCATTTTACCATGAGTAAATG